CACACACACCACACACACACACACACACACAGAGGGGGCGATGCCTGCAGTGCCTCCATGGGCTGGCTGTTTGCCTGTCTACCCAGTTGGAGGGCAGCCCACTCTTGGCGAACATCTCGTTGGAGGTGGATGTGATGACGTTGATGCCGCTCAGCTGCTGCAAGGCTAAAGATGATACAGACCACAGCAACAGCAACAGCAGGGGCTGGGGTGTGGTGCGCCGTGGTGCTTGCGTGTTTGTATACCAGCCATTGAGAATCCGACGAGCAGTGGGTAGCGGTAGAAGCCGTCGTAGAGTGCCGAGGACATGTTGATCTCCGCCAGGCCCTTGGCCTCCTCGGCGGCGCGCATCATGTCGATCATCTCACTCTCAACCTAATGTAACAAGCGCACAGACACAAAAACCCTTACACAGACAACGAACGGCCTCTGTTGGTGAACCTGTTCGAGGTCCTGTGCGTCGTAGATGCGCATCACGACCTCTGTCGCCTGCTCCATCTTGTCACTACACCCACACACAAACAGCCGACAGCAGCAGTGCTTTCTTCGACCGACTTTGTCCTTCGTGTGTGTCGTGTCTGTGTGTCTGCTGCTGACTGTGTGAGCAGCCAAGGGGGCGTCTCGGCGTTGCACCAGCAGGTGAAGAGGAACAGAGCAATCGCGGACGGCACCGCGTTCACGCCTGACAGACCGACGTACGTTGGGACACACAGTGATTGCAGTGTGGGCTGCGGTCGACTTGCGGCGGTCGCTGGTCGCTGGTGGGTTTAGGTAGGTGACCTACCGAGCATGACGCGCCACCAGTGGCTGTTGTAGGCGTCAAGCTTGTAGTTGGGGTCATTCTCGAGATTGGGGGACTGCGTGATTGATCACACAAACCGACACGGATGTGGGGTGGGTGGTCTGGTGCGTGTGTGGTTTGTCTAGCCAGCCCAGCCCAGCCCACCACCCCACCCCCCCACCAGCCCACCAGGTTGAGTCCGATGGCGATGGAGAGGAAGATGCCGATGGATATCATGACCTGGTGCATCGCCCCGTACGTGCCCCTACCAGTCACAAACAGTCGGCGAGGCGATGAGATGAGTGGTGTGGAGCAATTCGGTGCTCTCCCTCTCTCTCTCTCTCTCTCTGTGTGTGTGTGTGTGTGTCTTTGGTCTTTTCCTTCCTCTCTCACCGTCCGGAAGGGTTGCTCATCTCTGAAATGTAGACAGGTGTGATGACCGTCACCAGCCCCATGCCGAAGCCAGATATTACCCTGACACAACCACCACCAACAACAACACGCACCACCGTGGTCCTTTCGTTTATGGCTTGTTGGTGGAGTGGAGGGAAGAGCCCACCGCGAGAGGCACAGCTCGATGAGGCCCGTGGCAAAGAAGCCGATGACGCCGCCAACGATGAAACACACGCACGCCAACTGACCGACACACACAGAGCATGGCAAAGCGGCAGGATGCTTTGGTTTGCTCGTCCTATTCACCTGCAGTGACCTTCTGCGGCCCCACGCGAGCAGGCCTCCGCAACAGCCGGCGCCAAACACCGCTCCCAAGAACACTGCACACACGTGGATGGCAAGACTCCGCCTGTGTGTGTGTGTGTGTGGCTGTGTGATGTGTGCCCACCGATACTGTTGACGGTGGTTTGGTAGAGGTTGCTCTTGTAGCAGTCCGACTGCCACTGGTTGCCGCACCACCGAAACGTCAGGGCTATCAAACTGTTGCAGCTGTTCATCACACCCAAGTTGTATCCTACATGCACTCACACACACACGACAGTTGGACGAAAAGATGCCCCTACGGCACACAAACCGATCGGTCGTCCGCTGTCGTGTGTTCGTTCTCACCGAACAGAAACGACCCCAGCACAGCCACAGACACCACCTGCACACACACACACACACACACACACGATAAGAGCGACCACTGCAGACGTCCGCTCTCCCTCCCTCTCTTTGTCGCTCGTTAGCTGACCCACCCGTGTTGAGTAGGACTTGAAGAAGTTGGATGAGCGCTTGATGCATGAGGGCGTCATGCCCGTGCCCGCGTCGGGAGGCGACTCCCCCGCCAGCCCCTTCTCGGTCTCATCAGCCGCACCCGACAGCGGCTGATACACATCGTCCGGCACTATCTTGCGACGCAATATGCCGCGACGACCACGGTCGAGACCTGCAGGCAGACACACAACACAGATGCATGAGAGGAGCCATCCAAACGCAGAGATGGATGGGATGGCATTGCGTTGCGTGGGCTCATCTCATTCATCTGTCCATCCAGCGATCGCATGAGTTCGTTTTCCTCACTCACTCTTTTTGGCGGATTGGCTGAGTGCGAGAGGGACAGTGAGCGGCAGGGACGGCGGCTGGGGAGGCGGATCAGCTCCCTGGTTGGGCTCGTTGTTGAACAGAGGTACCGAAGAGGTCTGCATGGCGATGGATGGCACCGATATATGGAAAGATGGAGCGAAAGATGGGGGGGAAGATGCCACCAGCTGAGCAAAGCTGGCAGCCAGGCAAGTCAGAAGCCACGCATTTCGCCTGCCCTTCACACTTTGCAGCTCGCACAAGCCTAGGGGTGCCCCCTGAAACCGCTGTTCCCTGCGGGAGATTTCAGAATTTCGGAGATGAGCATGTCAGATTCGTGTTTGAATTTGTCATCATTTGACAGCCGATGCAGGGCATCGGCTGCCGCCGAGGTGTCGGTGGAGATGATGATGGACGGGCTGCGTTCGGAGGACCCCCGCGCATTTGGCGATGCATGTGCGCTCATCTCGCAAGCTGCGTCGCTCCAGGACTCGCTGCCCAAGGTGCACGAGCAGCTCAAGTCGCTTTTGGCAGATCTCGCAGGCGACATCAACAAACTCGACTCCGTCGTCACACGTGAGCGGAAACGGCCGACGACAAGAGGCATGCAGAGGCATGCAGGGCAGGGCCACCGGATTCCTGCTGGGTGCATGCTTGTGTTGGATTGGTGTGTCGGTCTGCAGGGGTGGCGGAGGCCTTCACAGACTCTAGCAATGCAGCCAGGCAGTCGGCAGCCGCCCGGCTCCTCTCGCTCACCTTCTGCCTGGGCGCAGCGGCGCTTCCCTTCCAGTTTTCCGAGTCCACCATGCGGCATCTCATCGATGCGGTGGCGGGCGCCGAGGCGGCCGAGGGCAACGACATCACGACGGTCAAGTTCAGCCTGCTGCGGCATCTCATGGAGGCGTCGTACGTGACGGCCGCCATGAGAGACGCGCTGCTGGTGCGGCATCAGGCCACGGTGGAGGAGGCCATCAAGTCGTTGTTTTGGAGCGGCACTGCTGTCGTATCGGCTGCGGGGGAGCTGCTGCAGGTGACTGACCGGGGAGAGGGGGAGAGGGACCGAGAGCACATCAGAGATGGCTGGCTGTGCCTGTATCTGTCTGTGTGCGTGGTTTGGTTTGGTTTGTGCAGTCTCTGTTTTCACTGCAGAAGTTTCCCCCGCCGTCACCTCTGCGTTCGATGCTGTTTGTCTTCCCCACCCTCGTGGACGTGGTGCAGCGGCAGACGAACATTGAGCAGACACACATGTGGGGGCTGACCATCCTCCTGCTGGGCGTCACGCTCAGAAACATCGACAAAGCAACCAAAAAGAAGAGTAGGTGCCGACAGGGAGGGAGGGAGGGATTGACTCCTTTCTTGTCCGTGTCTGTGTTAGGATTGGGGAAGAATGACGAGTCCAAGGAGATGTTGCGTGAGTTCATCTTTCCGAGCATCGTGCCCCTGAGCACCATGCTGGCGTCAGACGATGTCCACCTGAGTGTCAAGAAGACCGCGGCGCTCACCCTGGGCGTCATGTTCGAATCTGCCGACTACATGAGCAGAGGTCAGACAAACAAAGGGACAGAGACCACACACATACGGCTGCCATCGAATGGACCGTCCCTCCCCTCTGTGTGTGCAGAACCGTCGACGTACAGCTCCCTCGATGCCCTTGATCAGCCTTACGAGTACTCCTTCCTGCCGAAGCGGCTGTGCAAGCGGCTCCTGGAGGACCCCCGCATCCTAGGCTCGGTCATGGCGGCCATGAAGGAGGAGGTCAGCCACGAGGTCAACGCCCTCATCGCATCAGCCCTTCTAGTCCCCTCCATGAACCTCATGAGACCTGACGGTGAGTTAGAGGGAGGGAGAATGGGTGTGGAGCAGAGCAGACACACGGGGGGATGCCTTCTTGTCTGTTTGCAGATTCAGTCGACTTTCAGAACGCGATGGATGCCGGCTGGCTTGACGTCCTCGCGTCCTATGTGCGGCACAAGGCGCTGCTCAAGGACGGCGAGAAGATGGCTCGGACGCTGCTCGTCACATGGAAGATGATACAGACCAACAAAGAGGTCAAACAAGGGGAGGGCTCGAGTGCACGCCCGAGTGTGTGTGTGTGTTCAGATGGCGGTGCGCACGGAGCTGCCTGAGGCGTTGTGTGAGTTGGTGGTTGAGTATGCCTACCATCCCTTGAGCCCCAAGGCCAGCCCCATGATCGACAGGATGTCCCGCATCATCAACATCGACTTCCTGTGCTCCATTGTCAACGACATCGTCACGTAAGCCAAGAAAAATTAAGAGACGGCATTCATCCTGTGCTGTGGCCAATGTGCGTCTTGTGTTTGTTGTGTTATGAGCAGGCCCCTGCTGGACGGCGAGGAGTCGCACAAGCAGCTCATGCGCCGGCTCATGCAGGTACGCAACTACGCCGCAATCAATAGCTCCCTCACACACGCCGTCATGTGCTGTGCTGTGCCTGCCCCTCCGTCTGCTGGTCTGTCTGTGTCAGTTCGATTCCATCAAGACGCTCCAGTCGATGAGCCAGCAGCAGGCCGAAGAGGACAACATCGGCGACTGGCGTCTCCTCAACCTCCTCAGGATCATCGAGCTCAGGTCCGTCGGCAAGCCACTCGTCCCGACACCATCGCCATACGCCGCCATACCGCCCCCACCCCCACAACAGCAGCCACGCCAGCAGCAGCAGCAGCACCCGCCACACACACAGAAGAAGCATCACCACCTTCCGCCGCCCAAGAAACCGCCAAGCCCTAGCAACGGTGCCCCATCACCCCCCTCCAAGAAGTCGCTCGAGGAGCAGGAGAAGGAGGCGCGCAGGCACGCAGAGGAGCTGTTGGCTGAGGAGCGGCGGGCCAAGGCCAAGGCCGACAAGAAGGCCAGGAAGGCCGCCAAGCGCAAGGGAGGGGCTGGGGAGGGGGGCGCAGCGACGGGTGGCGACAAGACTGTGCCGTCGAATGCTGCACCGATGGATCAGTGAGCGATCGAGCCAACACACCATTGCTTGCTACCTCTGATGACCTCTGCTTTTGGTGCGTGTGTATGTGTGTGTGTGTGTGTCAGGCCCGTGTCTGAGAGCCACGATGACGATGCGGCCGGTCCATCCAGTAGCTCTCAGTAAGAACACAGCCACTCATGGACACACACATGTGTCTGGCGTGGATCGCTTTTCGTTTCTCTCGATCTGCGTGTGTCCAGACTGCCCGAGGTGCCGACGCTGGAGTCAGTGGCTGAGGAGCCAGCCGATGAGGAGCTTGATGTCGATTCGCCGCCAGCCGACGCCCACCGAGAGTAAGTGCCGGCAACACGCTGAGGGTCGATAGATAGAAACAGACAGACCATTACTTCCCATCCCCTCCTCCCTCCTTTCTTTCTTTGCAGCCATGAAGAGGAGGCTGTGCACGAGACAGAGGAGCCCGAGGAAAGCCGTTCCTCGCCCACGCAGGAGAGGTACACAAACAACAACAACAACAGTATCCACCCAACACCAACACGCACACACATGTTCTCTCTTGGTGCCTTCCGTGCCATGCAGGTCACCTGAGCCATCGGTGCCGCCCTGCCTCTTCCCTGCGCCGGCCGACAACGACGATGACAACGACTTCATGCCCGTCGTCAGCAGACGCAAGAAGAAGGGCTCCAAGGCGCCACCCAAAACACCTGCAGAGGCGGGCGAAAGGGGCGTCGAGCACCCGAGAGTGACCCCTGCGACAGATGCGCCACGCAGACAGACAACGACCAGGTAAGGAACGGAGCACGGCTGGCGCTCACCTGACCTGCACCCCTGTGATGCGGCTGGCTGTCTGCAGGGGTAGGGGTAGGGGTCCGCCTCGAGGGTTTGAGAACGAGTTTGTGTCGAGCTTGCGAGGTGCGCTTGATGGGCCGTCTAGCAGTGGGCCTTTCGGCTTCCTTTCCAATGGGCAGCCGTACTTCCCCGATCTCAACGGCACGTAAGGCGGGCGCTCCAGATGCTGGATATATGCTCTGACACACGATGGATGCACACTTCTGCTGCGTCGTCTCAGGCCTGGCGGCAGGGTGCCCAGCTGGCCAACGGACCAGAGGCCTCTGCATACCCCACAGCAGCAGCAGCAGCAGCAGGAGCAGCAGCAGGAGCAGGATTGCAGGTACAACCAATGGTGGATGGGAGAGAGTTTGTGCGAGCGTGGAACCAGCCTTTCGACCGATGCTCTCTCTGTTCAGGTCGGTTCCATTTGGCGAGCAGCATAGCGTTGATACGAGCGCGAGCAAAGAGGCAGGCCCGCGAGTGGACAACAGGTATGCGCAGGCCGTTTGCCAAACGATGCGTCTGTCGACCGTCTGTCTGTCTGTCTGTCTGTGTGTGTATGTGCAGGCCGATGGGATGCCCGGTGGTCTCTTGGGATGATGACGATGAAGACGACGACGAGGAGGGGTAAGGCAAGACCATAGACAACGCCCCCTCCCTCTGATGGCGACATCCGATTGCTCTGTGGTGTCTGTGTGTGGTGTGGCAGGCCGGCCTTTCTGACGGCAAACGGTCCTGACGCTGGCATAGCCTATGACGCGCCTGAGCCGGTGGAGAGCAGCTATTTCGATTATCCCGACCCGCACTACACGATTCCGCCCCGTCCGATGGCGCCCCCTCCCCCTCCCCCTCCCCCACTAACGCAATCGCTTGCCGCTCACCCGTCTGGATCGCAGCCATTCCTGTCGGCCATGTCGCCATTTGACCAAAGGTGAGTGGGTCCACCTGCTGTAGGTCCACCAACACTGCTCTCTGGTGTGAGTTGCAGTGTTGGTGTGGGGCATTTCGCGAGTGATAGCGGTTTGAACCACCACCAGCAGCAGCAGCAGCAGGGTAGCGGCTTCTTCGACGCACCCACGGCCTCGTGGGCTGCGTCTGCCCCCTCTCATGTGACAGTAGATGCTGACAGCAGCCGCAGCTACAACGACACGTCAGCCGCACACATAATGACAGCTTTACATTGCCCAGAAGTCCACTTCTCCCTCTTGTCCCCCTCTGTTTGATGTCAGATCGTTGGCTGCGTCGAGCTATCAGATGGACAGCATGGAGTACGGCCAGTCGCTGCTCGCGCAGAGCTCACCATGGGAGGGATACTCGTCGTCGGCCTTCGGGGTGTCGGTATATCAATACGACAACGGCAACGGCAACAGGTAAGGCATCCAGCCGGGTCGCATCCGTGTGACTCACTCACCACCCGCTGTCTGTCTGTCTGTCTGTCTGTCTGTGTCCCCTCTCCGACCGACAGCATGGCTCCCAACGGCAGCTGGTATGGTGCGAGCTCATCTTCATGCAGTTTCGGTGACGCCGCGCCTGCACCGGCAGCTGCAGCAGCAGCATCTGCCATGCCCCTCTACCCCGAGGCCGCTGCGCCCAGCAACAGGTCGGTCCGGACAAACATCATTCCACACACATCGATGCCGGCACATGTGTGGGGTTTGGTGTGGTGTGTTGTGTATGTGTGTGTGTGTGTGTGTGTGTTGCTTAGCTCATCTCTGATGCCCTTTGACGAGCTGGAGGACGCCTGGAACGAGGCACAGCAGCCCTGTTTCAACGTCCACACACACCCGCCGTAACAGACACAAGCAAAACACCTGAATGAACCTCACTGTCGTGTGCCTCATTGGCCCGCTTGTGTGTGTGTGTGTGTGTGTGTGTGCAGTCCGCCCCCTCCCCCATTGGTGATGGGATACAAGCAGCATCAACACCAACACGGGCAGCAGCCGATGTATAGCGCCCCCGATCAGCTGAGCAGTGAGCAGATGAAGGACCAGCTGCTGCTGCAGCTCAAGCAGCAACTCGAGGAAACACAGAGACGGTGCGAATGAAATGAGCACACGAGAGGGCCCGGCCTTCCTGTCTAATCATTGCCTTTGTTTGCGTGCAGCCTCGCGGCGGTGGAGCAGCGTTCTCAGCTGACCCAGGGGCCCTCCCCATCCACCAGCAGCAGTTCCGCAGCGGCAGCAGCCCCACCACCCGCACCATTCGCACCACTCGCACCAGCTGCTGCAGTCGGGCAGTCGGGCTGGTCAGATGTGTGGAGAGAAGATGGTGTCGACCTGCAGCCGTGGTAGATCGTTCGTTTAGCACACGGCTGGCGCTGACATAAGCAGCGGCACCCCTGAATAACGGCCGAGCAGCGTGCGCTGCAGCGAGAAGGCCACCTACGCGGACACCAAGGACAGCGTCGTCAGATGGGAGGCAGGCACTTTGGTGGCCCCTCTCTCTGTTTGTTGTGGGGCGGTCGGTGCATTGCCATTGGCAGGTAGTGCTTAACTCGGTGAGAAGTGGTTGAGGGAGGGAGTTGGTTAAGAGAGCTTTTCGTGTGTGTTGGCTTGTTTAACTCGGGTGGGGCGGGTGCACGTGGCTGGCATGTGTTGTGTGGGGTGTGTGTGTGAGGTTCCGATGCGTAGCAAGCGGCTGCTTAAATGGACACTGAGCTCCCTTGGCTGTGTAAGTGGATTGGCTGTCTGTCCGTCTGTATGCCTCCGTGCGTCCTGACTTCTTGCTTGTCAATAAAGGCACATAGACAGCGTTGGTCATTTTGCTTTGGATCGACCCGGCCTTACTCGTCCCTCAATCCCATGCACCTCACCTTAAGTAATGACCCTGCCGCCCAGCCGAGCAGAGACGATGTGTGCATGGTTGAGTCGGCTTCTCTGGTCGAACCCATGTTGACGATGCGTCAATCAGTGTGTAGAGCGAAGATCCAGGTAGGTATGCAGCACACGAGGTCATAAAGGACACACAGCGCGACACGTCTTCACATTCACGCAGCGCCTCGCAATAGGCCTACCCCATCTGCATGTCCGCCGAGAAATATGGCAGACACATCAAAGGGACGTGTCCACACTAGCGAGACAAATACATAGGACAATACACACATGCGAGCATAAGCGTGGGCACGTGCGCCCGCGCCTGCCGACTATCGTAATGCACTGACTTGCTACTCTCCCCGCTCCTCCCCACCGCCCGTCGACAGACAGCTCTCACACACAGCCATTCGGCGAGCATGATCTCCGCCACCGCAGTCAGCCACTGCCAGCCATCCGGCACCTGCACACACACAGACAGATACAGCACCGCATGATCACCATGGTCGGGACAACCATGTACCTTGACTCTCTCCCTTCTGTGCTGACCTGCAGTGTGTAGATCTCCAAACCGACACATGTAAAGTAGTGGCTGGCAGCTAAGGTGGCCCATCCCTCCTCGTTGATGCTGCCCACGTACGTCTTGTCGTCGGGCAGCTCATCCCTCTCTACCCACTGGAGGCAGCTGCGCAGGTCGCCAGCCGGGCCTTGCTGCGGTCGCCCCCCATGCCCCAGCCACAGGCGGCCGCCAGCAATGCACACCATGCCAGCCGCGCCCCTGCTACCCACCACCGCCCCCTCTGTCCCAGCGACCTCCACATACTGTCTGTCGTGCGGCACATTGATCTTGGTGATGCCGCCCTCCTCGAATGCGCCACTGATGGAGTAGAAGGTCACGGGGCAGAATGTCGTCTCCACTGCAGTGGGGTCGGCGGGCTGCTTGAGCTGTCCCTCGATGTGGGCGGCGAAGGTGTGGCTGCCGGTGTCCTTGGCCACCAGCAGCAGGTCGGCCGCCTCGCCCACCTTGGCCACCATGGTCTCGTGGGCCCAGCCGTCACGCTCGCCCCTGACACAGCCGGACAGACAGGAGAGGGATACGATGATAGCATCACAGCCGGCGGCTCATCTTTGGGTGACCCACTTGTAGAGCAGCTGTGCGGTCATGCCTATGTGGCGGGTCGTGTCGATGAGGGCCTGGAGGTCATCGACGGGGAGGATGGGATCAGCCGGGAGGGTCGTCCACACCTGAACAGACAGACACACACACACACGTCACATCGACATGATGACGTCCGTCCACTCGATGTGTCTGTCTGACCTGGTACACCTCCAGTCGCTGGGCGGTGAAGGAGTGGTTGTCGGCCAAGGTAGGATTTCCTCGCTCGTTGAAGGTGCCCACGTACGTCTTGTCGTCGGGCAGCTCACCCCTCCCCACCCACTGACAGCAGCTGCGAACGTCGTCAGTCGACCGCCCATCCTCCCCACACCCCAGCCAGAGCCGGCCGAGAGCGATGCACACCTTGCCCACGGGCAGACCCTCGTGGTCCTTCACCGCCCCCTCTGTGCCGGCGACCTCCACCGACTGCTCGTCATGTGGCACGGTGATCTCGGCGATGCCGCCCTCCTCAAATGGCCCACTGATGGAGTAGAAGGTCACGGGGCAGCCGGTGGTCAGCGTCGATGTTGGGTCAGCCGGAGGGATGAGGGGCCCGTCGATGTGGCAGGCGACGGTGTGCTGCTTGTCGTCCTCGATGACGAACAGCAGGCCGCTCACACCCGCCACTCGCTCTACCAGAGTGCCAAACTCTCCGCCGTCAGACGAACTCCTGACACACAAAGGCACCCAAATCAACACATGGCATCTCCCTCTTGTCCCCCCTAATGTGTGTTGTGACTCACTTGAAGAGGCATTTGATGTGGCTGTGCGATTTGCCGATCATCGAGAGGTACACCCGCTCCATGAGGCCGTACATGTCACAGGCATACAGCAGCTCGGCAGGCCAAGTGCTCGTCGGCAGCGGCGTGGCGGCGTCGGGGGCCAACCGAATGCGACGGACGTGATCCACCACCCTGCACACCACACACACAGCATGGAGATTTCGTGTGCCGCCTGGCTGCTGCTGTGGTGGGCTACTTGTGGAAGGTGTCTGCCGACACATCCCCGATGGGCCCAAAGCTGCACACACACACACACACACACACACACACAGTGCCAAGATGACCACCACGCCATCTCATCTCCGCCTGTAGACCTACTTGATGAATCGGTCGTGCAGTATGCTGTAGTCGGCCAGCGTCGCGTCGGTCGTGGCCACCACACCGCCATCCGCCACACGCACACTCAGCACCTCACTGCCGCCCGTCCCGCCCGCCACCGATGAGCTGATGAACGGCCCCATGACGGCCATGAAGCCCCGGAACGCCTCGCTGTCGTGGTCACCGTGTTGCGGCTCGATGGTGACGGCCGTCTCGGCGAAGAAGCGGTCGTGGTAGAAGGCCAGTGCGGGGCAGCCCTCGATGATCTCACTCACGTCGATGCGGTTGCAGCTCAGGTGCCGAAGCTTCACAGCCAACCTGAACACACACACGGCGACTGCTGCTGCCTGTCAGCCATCGTGTTGCTTCCCTCCCTCCCCCTCACCAGATGAAGTAGAAGGGGTCTGCGTCAATGAAGTGAATGCGATTGTCGTCTGTGATCATCCAGCTGTCGAAGCGGTTCAGCAGCACCGCCAGGCAGGTGTCCCGCAGCCCCTCGCACAGCAGCACATCCCGAGGGAAGGCCATGACGAAGCCGCCCACGTTGAGCAGCATCGGCCGGCCGCTCATCTTCTCTGCTGGCCTGTGGATGCCGTCTGCTGTGGCCGTGCTGCTGCATGCCGACGCCTTCATGGATGATGCGGTGCTCCTATGGCGAGAGAGGGATGGCGGCAACCCAGGCGGCAACAGACGGAATGAGTGACGATTCGGACGCTCCGAATCGATAGATATCGACAGAGATGGCCTTCCGCGTCGCCCTGCTGCTCTTGTGAAGCCTCAGGACGGTTGGAAGCTCGCTACAGCCACCAAGGATCCATTTCCTGCGAGCTCAAGTGGCAAAAGAAGGCCTTCTTCGTAATTCCAGACGTCCAGCGTCGCTGCCCCATCCCTGCTGGCCATATTCGGTCACCAATTCATTCATTGACTCATCCACATTCATTCATTCATTGAGATGAATGATCATCCACATGTACACGCCATCCGGCCAGAAGAGTGGCAGAGCGCGAGAAAGCCCCCCGTCCCGCTTTCAGCTGACTCAGATTCCCCGCCCAGTCAGCCCAGGGATGAAAGACACAGAGCTCGATGATATAAAATGCAGGCAGCGATACATACCACCCTCGGCCGTGCCATCAAACGCTATCCAATCTGCGTCACGTGCATCATCGATGGCGTGGATCTCATGAAGTGACTGAGTCGCCTCGGACCATCCTGCCTTGCTCATGAGCCCCCTCTGGTCCCCTGTGTGCCACAAAAGGCAAACAGACAGACAGACAGACAGACACACAGACACACAGACACACAGACATTGCATCCCCCTCCTCACGGACGCTGACACTCGTCTGTCTTCCTTCCAGTATCCACATGGAGGAAGATGCACAATGCCTTGACAGTGTTAGGTAGGTCCGTAGTCGGGCACAGTGAGTTCGTAGCTTCAATCGTGTAGGGTGGGCAAAAGAATGGTGGGCGTGGGGATAATGTTGTGGCATGGCTCGGATAGAGGCGAGGGACGGCGGCACACATGAGTGTGTCGCATCCCTCCTTTCCGTCGCGTGGCCTCTCGCTGACCAGGGTGAGCTCGGGAAATAAGGATGCAATGTCCTCGAGAAGGTCGGGATGAGTGTGGCTTCTTCTCCCATGGCGATGAGTCGATAATGGCCTGTTTGATCCACTCCCGCACAATCCCGTCGGGCAGCTCGATGTCGTCGTCCTCTATTGAGAGGCACGCCAGCGACTGCGGGTGAGGGACTGGAAGGTTGATCTTCAAACGGGGCTCTCTCCCACCCAATCCATTGCAGGCAAAGTAACTTCCTCACCCTCCAAGCTGATGGCAAGGGATGCCACTGGAAGAGTGTGAAAGGGTCAGATGCCCCCAGACTTGGTTGGGCCGGCATGTCTGTGGGCTCTTTGATGATGGGATGGTGGCGCACTTCGCAGCAATTCGTCTCGTAGGTCGCAAACTTCAACGCCGTCTTCTTTTGTCCGGCGAGACACGAAGGCCGACGATGGCTGGCAGAGGTCTTGATGCTGCGCTTGTTCTGCCTGATGTGTTCTCTCCGCCTCCACGTCCTCAAAGAGGCTGGCTGCAGGATGGATGAGGGGGTATGGAATCGACCTGACAAATGGGCGGCCTTTTTGACAGCTCGACGCCGTCTCCGCTTGTCGAGCGAAATGTGGATGCCGATGAGGATGGCTTGTGAATGCTTTGATGCCGTCCGTGACTGAGGCGTCCACCTCTGAACATACGAATCACACAAATCATACACGCGTAAGAGAGGATTTGTTACCTGCGCAGGATGGTGGCACAGGTGCTCGGACAGAGGCGCTGGGAACGTCGATGGCTGACGGGAGCCGTCCCCGCCTCTCGAGGAAGAAGCCAGACAATTGAGAAGCAGAGACCGTCATGATTTCCTAAATTCGTTATCACGTGAAACGGACTTTTTCTCATGATAAAACAGACTTCTTGCAGCGTCAGGCAAGCCTTGAGCCCTTACAGGCCCGAATGATCCGAATGCGATGCATTTGCAGTGAAGTGCTTGTGCGAAACTCACAAACGACCCAGCCATGACGCAAGCACAAAACACTTCGCGTCACACGATTATGTGTTTGTTTGTCAGTCAACAATCAATGATCATCGATGGATCATTGTCATTCATTCATTCATTCATTCAGTGAATCACTGCATCACTACAGACAACCCTCCTCGGTTGCTTCGCTTGGGAGACGGCCGTGAT